CACACACACACACACACACCACTCAACCCCCGGCCGGCTGCCATGTCTGTACCCCACGCCTGCAGGCCAAGAATCAACCCTCTATAGAAAAGCTTTTAATTTGATAACGGTGAGTAGAAGAAAAGAAAGTGGAGTGCAGGGAGATCCAAACTGGGGAGGGTGATTACTGCCGGCTGGGTGGGAACGGTGGGGGTGTTGAGTTATGTCATTAGACTACGGCAGGCTTTAAGGAATCTCCATTTCTGGAGCCCGGAGGCAGATCAATATGAAGATAGAGTGCAGAGAGCAGGAGCGGCTTGCCTGGAATTAAGAGAATTCTGAAAATCCCATTTTTGGAGAAAGGCCGGGCTTCTCTAACTCAGACGACCGAGTCCAGACTTACGAAAAAATAAAACATTTCCCCCGCACATAAATCTTTTCTTCGGATACATTTAGAACAAATAAAAAAGTGCAAACAGAACAAACAATGCCCTTCCTTGAAAAAAATTCAAATATGCATGTTTCAAACACACGCCCTCCCAACAGCTTAATTATTAACTTGAAATGGAAAACTCTCCGAAGCATTTCTTTGTATGCAAGAGAACTGTATAGAAATAAGAAAAATAGATATATGCTGAAAATACTAAGGATCCAGCCAAAACAAACCAAAACCTAGGGTTCAACAAACACCCAACCAACTGACTTCTCCTTCTACAAATGACTGTTTCTAAATATACAACACCGTGTATCTTCAACCCCTCACCGTGCTGCAAAGTTGTTCCTGTTGTTGACATGCTGTGTGTGTGTGTGTGTGTGTGTGTGTGTGTGTGTGTGTGTTCGACTACAGCTTTTGCTAAAGATGTAGGAGCACTCTGCGTAGGCCAAGATGGCTTTTAATTCCATGGTAGCCTTTTCCACATCTCCAGCACTGGCCAAACCCAACAAGCCCATAATAAGCTCCATCGCACTGCTCTCTGCTTTGATAAAGTGAGGAAGCCAAAACAGTAAGTCAGAAATAGAGCTACTGGGCCACTGCTGTTGGTGTAGCAGCAGGGACCCAATAAAGCCTAAATGTCACCCACATTATACATAGCACGAAGGATGGGACGGGAAGGTTCAATCACTCATTGTGTGCTTTCCACAGCAAATTAACCTTTAAGTAAATACGTGACGCTGATGCTTAAACACAGAGCTTCTATACATACCTAATCACTTTTAACATGCAGCGCCTTCAGGATTAGCAAAGACCATCCAAGAGCGTCAGACAGTTAGCATTCTCCAAGTGTTATCTATATGAGTACATCACATAGCTGCTCCAAGACTCGTCTAAAACAGTCCCTCAAGGCTTAAGAATCCCATCAGTGTTTTAGTTATCCACGGCCATCTGTTGCACACTGCATACACACAACTTTCACAGCTGCAACACGAGCATAAATAATGAAAATTCAATAATGAAACATTGGATGGCATGATGTTACATCCCTAGTTAGAGAAAAATCATTCACTTTGTATATGTGTGTTTTCTACGGGTTTGTTTCACTGCATGGGTATTGAGTTTGCAAAGGTCATTACATTCTGAATTTAAACTTTATTGAATTACGAAAGGAAAATGACAGTCCCAGTTGACAATTTTAATTTCTTTTTCCAAACCGAATGTCATATTCCTGTTATTGCTCTTAATGGAACGAGGGGACTTGTCTACAGAGAACTGAAATGAAAAAAACCAGGCTAAATAAAATCAATCAGGAAAATATCGGATGGCATGTAAAAAAGACAATTTAGATTGTTTTGTATGATCATTATACAAAAATATAAATGGACACATAATCAGGAACTGAAACAAACAAATTGCTGCTTTCAAGTTCCCTAAAAAACAGAGCATTGCTTGCTGGTCAGAACTCTTTCTGAAAAGTAGCCTCACAACAGGAGTCCTTTCAGGGTTAGCGAAGAACTACAATTATCTCATGCACTTGTATGTCTCTGCCATCCAGTCAAGTTGACATTTAAATCCATTTATGTCTAGACTCTTAAGAACATTTATTTTTTACTTTGACAATGGAGTCATGGAAAATATTAAAAACTTCAAAATTAAAATTCAAACTAAAGTCCTGTTACTGATGGCTCAGAAGGACGTCTATGGATATATGGAATTGCCACAACATTTAACAGTTACCGGTTTAATGCTGTTGCTGATTGATGTTTACTTTGTATCAATATAACCGTGGATGAATGGACAGAAGAATGATTAATTGATCCCAGGAGGGATTGAGGACAAGGAAAAGTTAGTTCTAAAACAAAGACTGAGTTTGGGACTAGATAGTGTTACATTGAAATGACCAGAAAGTGTGATAGTTTCTCTATAATCAGCTTGATCATTGTTTGAGGGAGTTATCAATTTAGGCTACTCAAATTAAAAATTGTAATTAAATTGTAAAGAAGACAGTTGAGAGACGTTATAATAGAGAAATCAAGGCTGGGGAGGTCATCCAGCTGTTTTTTTCAAGAAACTAGACACACCAAGGTCATGAACCCTCCAGCTGCATTAGTACCAGTTAATACAGCAGTTCATACAGGACTGACAGACAGGAGGACAGATACACATCAACAGGTCCATCTCTCTATTCCAGCTGTTGTCAGAGCAGGAGTGGCCCCAAGGCACAATGATTAACGCCTCAGTCAAATGCTACGCAAAACAGATGGTAAAGATGAAGAGAAGGGCAAAGTCCTCTATCTCCCTTTCTCACTATAGTATACACAAGAAGGCATGAACCCACACATAAACATATACACACACCACGAGCCTCCACGTGTGTGCACACACACATTTAAATCATTTTTTAAATAACATCCTGACCACAGTCATGAAGTGCTCTCCCGTGGAATTGTAATCCTATATACTGTAGCTTTTCCGGGAAAAACATAAAACCAGCAGTATAAAAACACAATTACACAATAGGAAGGGTGTTACAACTTTACTATCTTTGTTTTCCCAACCCTTAAATGCAGACTAAAGGAGGAAGACTACTCTCGGCCTTCTGGGAAAATAAGAAATGTCAATCGTTAGGTCTACAAAACAAAAAGCCAGACAACAAAAGAAACATGTAATCAAAACAAATCTTTCCTGCTCTCATTTTAATCATGTCCTCTGAACACTGGATGATCAAACTACGAAGTCACCAAACAGAACACTGTTTAGCATCAGCTATGGTGCAGCAGTCCTGTTACTTGTCATGTGTGTTTGCATTTTCGCAGGCACCTCTTTACACATTATTCAGGCTAAGGACTGTCATGGGACAGATCCATCATGACTGATCCTCTAAGCATTCTGACAAAACATCGGTCTGGCAGAAACAAGCATCAAAGCACTCACACACACATATTGACTCAAATCATAAGCTTGATCCTTTCACAAGGCATCGAGCATCTCACATATCAAAGGTCTCCCTCAAACACTCAATAGCATCCCTTTCAGCCCATGACATGAAAGAGAACACTGTGGTGTCTTATAATGTGCTGTTTTCCCATTCACAGAGCCCAACTTCAAAGAGGGCTAAATCAAGTTTGAGACATTTCACTGTCCCATTGGTTTGGTGTTTCCTTGTATTTTTAGTACCAAATGATCAGGAGATGACAGAGTCATTCATTACATTACACAAAACACCTTCCCTGATTTGCTCTTTCTAGATCTGCCATGAAACACACACTGGGCTCTCTCTGACTTGTACTTAGAGTCAAGGAGAGTGTGAATATGTATTGCGAACATCTGGCCAAGTCCTTATCGCCATGGGAAAATGTCTGCGGACAAGCCTGTATTATCCCTGCAGGGTCAGTACTTGTCTGGACTTCAGCTGTGGTTAAGCAGTTTCCCTGTGAGAAACTGTCAAAGTTGTGCCTCTCATTAATGGGGAATTGCGGAAAAGCGTTACGCTCCTTTGCTGTTTGGCCTCCTCCTTTCGTGTGGCAGGGACCTCAGGCTGTTTTGCCTTCAATGCCACGCACTTCCTCTCCACACATGAACCATGTGAGCAGAACTAAGTAAAGTGAGTAAACTGAATTATGGTAGCAGAGGGGTGTAAGAATAAAACATCATACTTAGACCCAGACTGATTGGTCTGCTGAGGACTGCCATGTTATAGCTATTAATAACTTATTGGCAAACGCACTCAGGTGTTTCCCCATTATTTAGCGAGCCTGTTGCGGCCC